TCACGTTCAAAATTCTAATAAAAAAGTTTTTAACAGTATTCCAAAAAAAAGTCTAATAGTGTATTGTCTAGGCTACAAAGTGGGTTGGCTATATGGTAGATTACTCTGTTTGGTAAATTAAAATGAAACAGGGGATGTGCCTAATTTCTGTGAGCAAGCCACTGACTGATTGATTGATTGATAGATGGAAGGACTGATCGAAATTGAAGTAACCCTGCCACTCTCTTACTAACTTACCCTCACATGACCATTGGAAACATAGGATTGACTGGACTCTTCGGCCCAATTACGCAAGTACATGAATTGATAAAAATATTCCTTTGGGTTTTTTTGTCCTTTTCTCCTCTTTGATTATGTTTACATGCATAACCAAAAGCTCAACCATCAACACCAAAGAAACCAAACCGAAAAGAAAAATGACGATCAAAAGAGCAAAGAAAGAAGGTGAAAATGAGAAAAACATACAAGAAAAGGACCCATCTTGGAGTTTGTGGGCTGACCAGAGGGCCAAGAATTTGCTTTATCTTGCTCCTTGGGATAGCCCACCTCCAACCCATCGGACCTCACTTCATGCCACTGTTTATTATATGCTTCCCTTTGCTTTGGGTTTTGGGCTCTTAACGCCCCATGAAATTTCTTGAGGAGGAATTCTATTGGGGCTATACTGAGGTTAGGAAAAACAGAGAAGAAGAATATGAGGACAACTTGATCCAATTGTAAAATGACTTTAATAGTCTACATTACAACTTTAAATTTTTTATTTTTTAGTATAATTTTTAAAGAGAACAATATGAGATGAGAGAGAGTAAGAGCAATTGCCACGGCTGGCGACTCCCGCCAGTGAAAGCAACAGGCTAAGAAAGAAATCATACATTAGACATTGGCAACTAAATTGCAATTCCAAACATGTAATCTAAAAGAAGCCAATTCCTTTTGTTGGTTGAATTTAACAACAATGGTTGGAGAGTATGTAATATATATATATATATATATTTCATTAATGTACATACTTCTCATGCTTCAAGTTACATGAAATTTGAATTTGGGTACTTTAAAGCCATAAGGTCTTTAATTTAATTTAAGCCAAGTGCCAACTCAAAACTTCATCCCACCTTTCCTGTTCCTTTCATGTTTTCACAAATTTTTTATGCTCACCATCATAATTTTTTGGCCTTGTTGCGGTTCGGTTACTACAACTTTTCAATAAAATTGTGAATCAACCCACATATTACGGTATGGTAAAAAGAAGAACTATAAACCGACCGACATATTGCATTATACCGCAATTGTCGGTATAGGGAACAACATAACTTTACAGAACTTTCTATCAACAAAAAAATAGTTTGCTCGTGCTTAAAAATATTGTTGAAATAAGCATAACTTTCTATCATCGTCAATGATTCTTTAACTCATATACGGAGAGAATGAACTTTATTATTAAAAATAATCAAAGACAATCCACAATCCTGCTAATGCACAATTAATCAACTAAATAGTTGATTGCAAGCTAGAGATTATCTCAGCTAACCCACTAATAACAACCTAACAAAATTACCAACACAACCGGTGAGTTTGCATTACTAATTGAAACCGAGGTTCCTACTAGATAAAGTTAATTATTCACTAAATATTCAAATGATATTTCTTTACGGCCGAGATTTTAAAAAAACCAACAACAGAGGAAACTTCAAAGAGATTTGCAGAGAATACATTTCATTAGTAATACATTCAATCAAAGCCTAGGTGAGTCCCATAGAGAGGAAGAAGATGAGAGAGAAGGGAAGAATAAAAAGAAAAAGAAGAAGAGAGAACAAAGAAGAGAGAATAGAGAAAGATTCATCTAAATGATGAAGTTCTAGCCTTTGTAAGTTAATATAAAATATTTATAAGTATTTATTTTAATAATTAATTACATTATATTGCGGTTTGTATTATACCACATTATTTGGATATGTGGAACCGCATATTACAGTTGGTTCTATAAATCGCATATTGTGGTCAATTTTCGTTATAATTCGATTTCAATGCGTTAAAACCTCAATCGGTATTTTCAATCTAAAATGCCAGCTCTACTATCACATGTTCCTAGACCATTCCCCATTTTAAAGCAGAATAATGTTAGAGAGATTATTTTTTATTTTTATTTTTCATTACATAATAAATCAACCAAAAACTGCTGTTGTTTCTTTTCAATCCAAAACACATACAAACAAAAACTGTCCTGATAATAATTGACACATATTCCATTTTCTGACATACACAATTTGTGAAATTTTCCATAATTGGAAAAAGGAAAAGCATCGACGACTAACGTGCGCCGGGGTGTGTAGTATAGTTGGCTCATTTAGCGTGTTCTTTATGAAGTAAGGTAATATTAAGATAAGAAGAAACTAAACTAGTCCCATTTCGCGCTCTCTCCTTCCTTTTTCCGGCAAAGCCTCTTCATTTCTCTTAAACCATTGTCAGAGTACGGTACTCTCTCTCTCTCTATATGAGATTATTTTATCTTGGTTCATGTTCTACATGGAAATAGATACAGACTGTAATGGCTATCTGAATCATATGGTTCCATCAAGATAATGAGCTTGGCGTTTGCTAGTTAGTTGCAGAGTTTCAGGAATTCTTAGGGTTCGAAGAAAGACTCTGTTTTAGTGAGGTTGGTTTGGTCAAGAAAGAAATTTTTGGTTATTTTCATATGGCTTGATCAAGAGATGACGAGCTTGGATTTTGTTAGTCAGGTGCAGAGTATCATGGATCTAGTGCAAGAAACTGTTTTGATGAGCTTGGTTTAGTCAAGGTTGAATCTTTTTGGGTATTTAGATAAGAAAAAAGTGGTTTGTGCATATCTTTCGTTTTCTTTGTCATATACCCGAGTTTTCTAAACTGGCGTTTTTATTTGTTTCTGGTTCTGAAAGTGCGGATGCTTGTAGCTTATGCACAGAAATATGATGAATTGGGCTTTTCTTCTTCTTCTTCTTCTCTACAAGCCGGTTTGTAATTGTTTATTTATTTGCTTGATTCAGGGTTGTGATATATTTTCATCGTGTTTGTATCTGAAAATGGGGGCCGGAAGGAAAACAGAGACCTTTACTGCACCGCCTAATCAAGGCCTGGCAACCTACACTACATCCATGAGAAATTTGGTCAAGAAACACCTCGGTGGAGTCATATTTGGTTGCAAGGACATCACAATCGATGAATGTCTATCTAAACAACTCTTTGGTCAGTGTTCTGAACTTTTTTGCACGTTTTGGTATTGAACTTCATGTCATGTGCACCAATTTGTTCTTATCTATGTTATTCCCAGTGCATTGCCATCTTCACCTTAAATTCCCTTTTAATGAGCCCCAAAGTATTGTAGCCTGATTTATCGAATACACAAAACTTTCTGCAAATAATGAACTTTTTGTCTGTTGATTTTGTGCACTACTACTGCTCATTTCATGTTATAGTTTTAGTTTTGGGGCCACGAACTCATGAGATGAATTCAATTTCTTTCAGGCTTACCAGCTGCACACTTTCTATATGTACAGAACATTTCTCCTGGCTTGCCACTTTTTCTCTTCAATTACACTGATAGGAAACTTCATGGAATCTATGAGGCTGCTGGCTATGGGCAAATGAATATCAATCCCTGTGGATGGACCACTGATGGTTCAAATACTACGCCATTTCCTGCACAGGTATTAAATAAAATTTTCTTCAAAATTGGTATAATTGTCCTGATTTATAATATCATCTTAGGAAAACAGGTTCTTAGTCAAGAAAAGGATTTTATACTGATATATTATGTTTCTACATTAAGGTTAAGTTCCGTGCTCGGCTGCACTGCCGGCCACTGCCTGAAAGTCAGTTTAGAGAGATAATTGCCGACAACTACTACAATGAGTTTCATTTCTGGTTTGAGCTTGATCTCGCTCAAACAAGTAAGCTCACATCTAAGTTAGCATCTGGAGCAGTTGCTCCAAGTACTCCTGCACTACAGAGATATAAGGGAGCATCTGTGGCAGTTTCTCCAAGTCCTTCTGTACCTCAGAAATCTAAGTTAGCATCTGTAGAAGTTACTCCAAGGACTTCTGCACCTCAGATATCTAAGTTAGCATCTGTAGGAGTTGCTCCAAGGACTTCTGAACCACAGAAAACACTGAATTGGAGAAGTTGTTTTGTGGCTCTGCCATCGCATGACACAATAGAGGAACCTGAGTGGCTTGAACAACTTACATCAGAGGCTGAGGATTTGAGTAATTCATGTCAGAATTTGGATGTCCCAATTTCGTTTGGAAGATACGATCCATTCAAACCCCAATTAGATGTGAAGGATGCTGAACAAGTGGGGCAGGAACGTGTATACAAAAAACTGAAAGATTTAGCGATCCATGATAATCTTAACAATGAATGTCAAGACATGTCTTTGTCAGGAGACGTTGAAGATAGTGTTGCAGGAAGTTCTCACTCCTCGTTTGATCAAAGAAGCAGAGAGAGTCTTTGCTCCTTGTCTGCACAGAAGAGTGGAGAGATCCCCCTATCCTTGTTTGAGCATCAGGCACTCATAGCTAAGGTACATGATGATTTAGTAGTTTCATGAAATATAAGCTCTAATGCTAGGTATCCCTGTTTGTTTTCTTTTTAACAACCACAATTATGTATTATATTATTCGTATCAGTTGATTGAAGAGGTGGGAGAGCTAAAGGCTTTTAAGACAGAACAATCTCAGAAGATTAGCTATTTGGAGTACAAGCTGGTACTTAATACAATGCTAAACATTGCTCTCTCTGTTTCCTTACTTTATGTATTGGCACTGAATTGGTCCAAGTCATTTTGATTCAAACATGAAGAAATAAAGCCTTTTTCTCATCATTGATCTTACTTCTTGTTTCTTCTTACTTCGGTATTTCAGGAGCAGGCAGAGACTGAAATTCAACGCTTGAAAGTTTGGTTTGAAGATTGAATCTGAGTTAGTACACTACTTGTGAGCATTAAGTTGTATGCTTTGAGCTATGCTTGTGGATGCATAGTATACCACTGTAAAGTTTCATTCTCTCTTGGGCTGTATGAGTTAATTAGTAGCAATTATAGAGTTGACATTATATGATGTATGAGTTAGTCAAGGATTAAATGTGCTTTGCTCTGGGGCCTTTGGTAGACATGGCAGGCCACTTACAATTAGAATTCTTATTAACCCATCAATACTATGAGCTTTTGCTTGTCTACAAGTGCCTAAGCTTTGATTTAACGTTTTTTTCTTTTGGTCGAAAAAGCTTTGATTAACTTGATCAACAAGTTAATCGACTTCTTATCGTGGGTATTAGGTTGTAAATGACACCATTGCAACTACAAGTTCTCACAATAATGTCATAACAAGTTTCAGCATACATGAAGGATTAAGGAATCATCCTTTTCTTTTTCCTGTCGATAAGAATCAAGAATGCATGAGGCAAAAGAACCGGGCTTTATTTTGCTACTTGGAATAAAACCTCTGGTATTTGGACCAAATCACGTTCTTCAGTATTTGGGCCTCGTTCTTGCAAAGTCTCCATTTGCATTTGTCTTTTTGGTCAAATATGTGCTTTTTCTTTTTTTGCTTTTCCTCCTGAGGAGGTTTTGCTGAAATAATAAATTCAGAAGTTGCCATAGTGCTCCATCACTTTTACCTCTTGGTTGGAAATCAGGCTAAAAAATCAAAACATGATTGGGCAAAGTGGCACTGCAATTTGAAACATGCATTCTAAATGAAGCCAATTCCTTGTTTTGGTTGAACTGATACCTTAAAGCCACAGGGACTACAATTTAATATAGAGCTATATAAGCTAATGCCAGCTCAGAACTTCCTCTCACCACTCCTTTTCTTTTCCCATTTGTCGACAATTATTTGATGCTCACAGCATCATACTATTTTGGCCTACATCGATCACATGGGACACTCATATGTTCCAAGATCATTCCCCATTTGACAAAAAGGAATAATGCTAGAGATAATTTTTTTTCAATGACATTGCTTTGCTTTTTATTATTATTTTAATAAAAGTGATATTAGATATGGAGATTTAGACACAGGACTTTAGGTGCACGAATAATTACTTGTAACCACTTAAACTACAAGTTCTTTTGCAATTAACCACTTTAGCTAGAGGCCAATGTACAATCATATTGCTTTGGTTTTTTTTTTTTAAGAATAAAATAAAATACGATAGTCTAAACTATAAGATGGAGAGAGTTTCTCAAACACATTCAGCGAGTTCGAATTTGAGACTACTAGCTAGCAAATCAAAATCCTTTTTCGCTAGACTAGACCCGCTAGCCATATTGTTTTGTTAAGTGGTAAGTTAACATGCACAATTTGCAAATTTAAAAACTTGGCCCTAGTAGGAATTCTCTTCCAAGTGTTGGCTTTCAAGTCTGAATCTCCCACCTCATATGATTAAAAAAGTTAAAACATTGCGAATTCACAAATTTGCTATAAAAAGCATTGAGCACTAAAGTGCGCCGGGGGTGTAGTTAGTTGGCTCATTTACTGTGTGCGGTTTTACAAGACAAGCTCAAGCTCGTTCTATTTCGCGCTCTCGCATTTCTTTTCTCGGCAAAAAGCTTGTTCATCTTCCATAAACGCTCGTCACAGTCACAGTACGGTACGCTCTCTCTCATTTGTTTCTCTCTTGGTTCGCATTCTACATAGAAAGTGATACATTTTAATGTACTGGGTATCTGAATCATATGGTTTGATCAAAATGACCAGCTTCGCTCTCGTTAGCTAGTTGCAGAGTTCCATGGATTCTTAGGGTTCTTGGCCTAAGAAACTGTTTTGATGTCCTTGGCTTGATAAAGCTAAAAACTTATTGGTGATTTCGATGGATTAAAGTGGTTTGTGCATATATTTCGTTTTTTCTTTCATGAATAACTCGAGTTTTCAATTTCAAATGGCGTTTTTTATTGTATATTGGTTCTGAAACTGGGGATGCTTATTTCTTTTAGCTGTTTTGTATTTACTGTGTTTGCTCATGGCACAGAAATAGGATCATTGGGTTTTGGCTGCAATCCTGAACATAATTATGGCTTGGCTTTGTTGCTTGATTCCATGGGTTTTATGCATTGCTTTAAATTTCCTTTTCATTTGTATAATAACTACTATGCAATCGAACAAAAAGTAAATACCTTTAGCATAGTAGACAATAGTTGGACTTGGTGATAGTACTTAAACCCAATGTAAGCATCATTTTTGCAATATTACTGAGTACAATTTATATATGAAAATTACTTATAAAGGGTATATCCACGCACAAATTAATTATTGCATGACATACCTTACTTGCACACCATGTCTTCGAAAGCATGTTCTTCATACTACGAATTTAAACTCAGCTCCTCTAGAGCCTTACATTAACTGGTTTCTGAACTAGATAAGAGACTGCACTTTTTTATTTTTTTCTTTATGCTCTCAATTTTCCAATGTTTTATTCTTGTTTTGTGAGCCTTCCGTTACATATTGTTTCATTCATATTGATCATCTTATTCTTTTTAAAGAAACAAAATGATGAGATTGACTGATTTCTTCTTGTTACCCATTCAAGTGCTTTCAGCATTGGCTTGTCATAAAAGGAAAGGAATCTGAATAATGAATTGTATTTCAGATTTTGTTCACTATGCCTTTATGCTTAAAACATTTTAGTATATAAATTTTTTCAGAGGAAAAATACAAAAAGAGGAGTAAGAACTAGTACTCGGGATAAGATTCCTCATAGGCCTTCTATCTCCACGCGGCATAAGTATGTCAGCCTTTCAACAAAACAGTTAAAACAAACCAGCAAGAAATGCAGAGTGATTGTTGTATTATGTAGTCGTTTCATAACTTTACTCATTTGAAAAATTTCGCTGATTTCCGATGCATTTGATGGTCCTTTTGGGCTGATTAATATTCCCCTCCTCCCATTCCTGTTTCATTCATTTGGTGATAACCTGTATTGGATCACATATGACTCTGTCTATAGCACATGACCTTTATTTCTTTTTCAGGTTCATGATATAATTTCCTCCTCTTTGCATCAGAAAATGGGGGCTGGAAGGAAAACACAGACCTTTACTACACCTCATACTGAAGACCTGGTACCCTACGGTGCAAACATGAGAAATTTGAGGAAGAATCACCTTGGTGGAGTCATATTTGGTTGCAACAAACTCACAATGGAAGAATGTCTTTTGAAACAACTCTTTGGTCAGTGTCCAGAACTTTACTGCATGTTTTGTTCCTAATTTTTCCATCTCCCGTTTTCAATTTTTAAATTGGTTATTGTATTGTTTTTAACATTTAAACCAGTGGTGTAGTGATATTTGGTATTGAACTTCATCTGCACCGATTTTTCTTCTTTCTGTAGCAAGTGCATTGCCATCTTCACCGTTTTTTGGCCTGCTGCCGCCACCTTAGAGTCCCCTTGTTAATGAGCCCCAAAATATTGTAGCTAGCTTTATTCTGTACACAAAACCTTCTTCAAATAATGGACAATTTGTCTGTTACTTCTGTGCACTACTACTGCTTATTTCTTGTTTTAGTTTTCTTTTTCATTCCATGAATTCTATATTCTTTCAGGCTTACCAGCTGCACACTTTCTCCATGTAAAGAATATTTCTCCTGGCTTGCCCCTTTTTCTCTTTAACTATAGTGATAGGAAACTTCATGGAATCTATGAGGCTGCTAGCCACGGCCAAATGAACATTAACCCATATGGATGGACCACTGATGGTTCAGAGAAAACGCAATTTCCTGCTCAGGTATTTAAATAAAAGTTTCTCATAATTGATCTAATTGTGCCGAGTTATAATTTCATCTTAGGAAAAACAAGGTCTTGGTCAAGGAGATGCTTTATACTGATATATTCTGTTTTCTACATTAAGGTTCAAATCCGAGTCCGGCTGCAGTGTCAACCCCTGCTTGAAAGTCAGTTTAAACCGATAATTGTTGACAACTACTACAATCAACGTCATTTCTGGTTTGAGCTTGACCACGCTCAAACAAGTAAGCTGGTATCACTGTTAGCATCTGTGGTGGTCACTCCAAGTACTTTGGTACGACAGAATACATTGAAGTGGAGAAAAAATCTTCAAGCTCTTCCCTCAGATGACAGAATAGAAGAATCTGAAGGGCTTGAACCACTGACTTCAGAATCCAAGCATGTGAATCATTCAAGTTCGAATTTGGATGCCAGAGTCTTATTTGGAAGCAACAACTCATTCAAACCCCAACTAGATGTGAAAGAGGCTGAACAAATGGAGCAAGAACTTATATACATGAAACTGAAAGAGTTAGCACTTCAAAGTAATCTTAAGAATGAAGGTCAAGACCTGTCTTTATCAGGAAATGTTGAAGATCGCACTGTCTTGAATGAATTGACCTTTGAGGACACAGACAATCCAAGGGAGCAATTGGGTTTTGAGGAGAAGAGGGGAGAAAGTCCTCCCTCCTTGTCTGAACAGAAGAGCGGAGAGAGTCCTTGCTACTTGTCTGTGCAGAAGAGTGGAGAAAGTCCTCAATCCTTTTCTGACGATCGGGCAATCATAGCTAAGGTAAATGATCATCTTAGTAGTCCACAAACAATCTTAGCTAATGTTAGGTATCCCTGCTAGTTTTCATTATATTTACAACCACTCTCTTAAATATTCAGTTGGTTCAAGAGGTGGAGGAGCTAAAGGCTTTTAAGGCAGAACAATCTATGAAGATTGGTTATTTGGAGCATAAGTTGGTACGTAATACAATACTCTGTTTGTTAAACATTGCCATATTTCTGTTTCTTTACCTTATTTTTTCTGCTGAGCCATCTGAGTAGCCTTTAATAGCATGCATTAAGGATGCATTTTCTCATCATTGGTACTGAATTGTTCCAAGGAACTTTGATTAACACATGAAGCAAGAAAACCTTTTTTTCTTCGGACTTTTTGCTTGAATTGATCACAGACAAAGCTTCAGTTCCAATTTATGTTATTATTTCTGTCTATTGTTTCCATTTGTTATGAACCTTTTATTATATTGAAAATCTAAATAACAATTCAATAAAACCTAATGATAAAGACTGCATATAATATTATAGGCTCTTTGTTTGTCCTTGTTAGTTTCTTCCTCAATCTACGAGGTTGTCGGATAAGAATGCTAGGTCCAGAGTCGATGACTGTGGTGTTTGAATGACATAGGCTTTGTTTAACTTTTGTTTGCAGAAGCA